AATGCGACTCTGTAACTGAAGGATGAACGAAAGTCTGTTGGGTCTTGTCCAGACTGCAGCCGAGGACCCCCTCGGCCCCCCTGGAACATGACACATCTGCTCCCTTGCCGGCCGCGGGGCAGGGCCATGACCTATGATCACTCGTCGGAGGTCAAACCCTGTAGTGAGGAACTGGCGTCGAACATGCTTCGTATCTGACATGTAGTTCACTATGAGCGCGCCCTGTAACCCCTCCCTGAGGCGTGCCTCGTATGCCCGCCTTCCAGGCATGGGGTAGGCTGTGCTCTGGCGCCTCTCCCTGAAGTGTGCCTGTAGGATCCTTCAGATATGCGGCCGTCGCGGCGTCGCTGGTGGTGAGTTTAGGTCGCCGCATGCAAATAGATTGCTGTCTGTTGTTGCTAGTAATGTCGAAATTAAGGGTGTGAGTCCGACGTGAAACGGAGACCCCCCTACCAAGAAATCGATTTCGGTTTCGGGCTCGCGTCGCGCGCGCCGCGCGCGCGCGGGCGAGGCGAAGCCGCGCGGGCGGGCGAGAGGAAATCCTCCTGTGGCTGGGCCGCGGCTGGACCACATGTTTCTCCTCCGGCGGCCGGTGGCCCCCGGCGCCCCGCCGGCGCCCCGCTGGCGCCCCGAAATCCTCCTGTGGCTGGGCCGCGGCCGGACCAGATGTTTCTCCTCCGGCGGCCGGTGGCCCGCGGTGTCCCGCTGGTGCCCCGCCGGCGTCCCGAAATCCCCTTGTGGCTGGGCCGCGCCTGGACCAAAAGTCTCTCCACCTGGCAAACGGTGCCCCGCGGTGCCCGGCTAGTGCCCCGCTGGTGCCCCGCCGCGGCTGCGGCGAGCTATCCAATGCAAGTCTACATGCAAGCCAGCATGCAAACCGCAAAGCACATCGACATGCAAATCGACATGCACTTCCACATGCAGATCGTAGGGCGCCGTGGGTTGCGCATTAAACAATCTGCGCCCGCGGCGAGCCTTCCACTGCAAGTCGACATGCAAATCGAGATGCAGATCGAAAAGCAAATCGACATGCACATCGACATGTCGACATGCACAACGACATGCCTATCGAAAAGCAAATCGCCACGTACATCGATATGCGCTTCGTCAATATCGCCACATCACATCACGCTCACGATCGCAAACGCACTGCTCGCTTGACTGCGCGCCACAGGCATCGCCAGAACAAGAATCACCCCTTTTGCCCATTGCTGCCCCCGCCCCACCACCCCCCACCCCCCAACGTCCTCATCGCCCCCAGGGCGGTCGCATATGTGCATGTGCTCGTTGCTAGGTCGGTTGCTGCAGGCGCCGCGCGTCGCATGCTCAACCGCGCGCTGCGAAGTGCAGAGGGCAAATGTATCGTTCATGCATGCAGGTCGCGGAGCCAGAATAAGCCACTGTAAATGCACGACCAACGAATTAAGCCTGCCTGCGGTGCGTCGACAACATGTTGCGCCACCTGGCGAGGACAACAAACCGCATCGGTGTTCTATGAACGTTTGCCCCCCCCCCCCTCCCGATCTGAACGTCGGGCCCTGTCTGCGCTGGCCAAAGCAGCCCAGCGGTGCGACGCTTTGTCGGGGGCCCCCGGGCGGCCCAGGGGCCTTCCCCATGCGCCCGATGTCAAGATCGGGGGGGCGGGGGGGGGGGGCAATGGCCAGGGGGGGGGGGGCAGCGCAGCATGGGCGCTAATGCGCAGCGAAGGTGGCGCAACGTTCTGCGTCGATGGGCATTTGGGCAATGCAGACGGCAAAGTCACGGCACGAATTGGTGCGACGACTGCCGGCATATAGAAACACAAACCCGACGTGCGTATACTGCCCGTTCTTGTCGCTTGATGGCGTGGCAGGTAAGGCAGCTGTGCTGTGTGGAGGTCAGGCCTGCGTGGGCCACGTGCATGACTGAACCCCTCGCCCTGGTTAACTGTCCACGAACCCCATGACCCGGGAATTGCGGTTGTTGGCGAAGCCTTCGGGGCATGTAGACGCAGTGTTGAGAGACGCGCGAGGTCGGCATGACAGCTTGGCATTTGCATGTCCTGATACAGGAGGTATAGTCGGCAAGGCACAAAATATGGCACAGCACAATGAAAGCGGCAGGTCTTCGACAAGCAATCAGTTTTCTGACAACAATGTAGCCACATCAAAGTATATGTCACAGCGTCGTATATCGAATGCCATCACAGATTGGACAATGGACCGTACCAGTAGTAAATTGGTGAGTAACGTCGCCTATGTCTGACTGCCATCGCCTCTCCTCGAAATATGCCCTGATGGTTTCCCATGCCGGGTATGAGGCAGGCTGCAAGCACTGCTGGCTGCTGCTGTGTTTTGTGGTGCGCCGTTGTGAACGTCGTGTGTTTTCGTTTGCTTGCCTTGCGTTCGTATAGTGCTAGTGCGGCCGTATGTGCGGGTCGGTGTAGTCTACTTGATCTGGTATGTGTCGAACCCAAGTATGGGTCCAATTGTAGGTAAGCGTTGCAACTTGCTGGTGGGTGGGTGGGTGATGTCTCTGGAAGGCTGTGAGTTGTAATGCTAGACACTACTAGGATGCAGGTATGTTCGGGTATGGTGAAGCTGCTGGTAATTGGTGTGTATGCAGCGTGGCTATGCGTCATGCATGTGCATAGACTTATGTTGTGCCCCTGTGAGATGGCACTTGCCAGGTTGGGTAAGTGAAGCGCCAGTCGTCTGGTTGGTGCCTGTGTAGGCTTGCCAAACGCAAATTGGTCGAAGTTGATGTGTTGTGTCGCGGTGGTGGGTTGTCACTATTCTCCATGTGTTAGGTGTTGATGTGTGCCAGCTCGGTTGCTTCGCCATGAAGCTACATATGGTCTTTGTGTGCTGCGCCACTACCAATAGCGTGGTCATGGATTGGATCTTGCTGCTGGCGGTGAGGACTTGTTCCACTTGAGAAAGGGAGTGATTGGGCGTCCCTCAGACCTGTGCTGTTGTGCGGTAGGTGCCTCTGATTGACCCTGTGTCCCCAGGGGGTCTGCGATTGCTGGCTGCTGCGTCTCCTGATCTGCACTTTCGTATCCAAATGTCAGTGGCTTCTGGTGTAGCTAAGTCGAGCTGTGCGTCGCTGCTGGAACCAATGTTAATGCAAGTGTAGTACTGTGTTGTTGGGTTGGTCTCCAGGTAGTGCTGCCTGTCGTGGCAGCGTCGCGTGTATTAGAATAATACTAATGCTGGTATGTCGGGTTCGCCGTAGAGACGCGTAGTGGTTGCATGTGTTGGTTTGTTGGGGAATGCCTGTGCTAGTCGTTGTTGGTGGCATGACTGGGTCGCATTGCTGTCTAGGTTGCCTCTTGTCACCTTCTGGTATTGTTGCTGGTGTTGTGGCAGTTTCGGGTCGCAGTCCTTTGCCTTTATTGGCGATGGTCTTTGTTTCGCTGCTCTGTCGTAGTGTTGTGGCTGCGTGTGTTGCAAGTGATGTTGCGTTGTTGTTTGCGTGGTAATGGTTGCATCTTGCAACTCTGCGTCCAAGGTGGGTTGGAAGTCGCTGTCGGGTGCGAAATTGTGTGTGGCAACTTACGCATGCGTTCCCTTCGACCTTGTCGGCTATGTCGTCTGCCTGCGGGTGTTGTTTTAATGCGGTGAGCCTTCCAGTCTCGTATTGTGCGATGAGGTGTACCCGCTGTCATAACACATGTATATGCTTGCTGCACAGGTGGATCGGGTGGTGTGTCGGTGTTGTCGTAGTCGAGCTGCTGTATGTGTTGCTGCCAAATCGTTGTGCAAAGTGTGTCGCTATAGTGGACGTGCTCTCTGCGTCTGACTCTGTCTACTTGGTTGCAGTAATGCGTTGGTGCTTCGTGCGCAAATTCGAATCATCTAGTCATGTCTACTTGTCGCGGAGTGTCAGATGGTTCAATAATCGTGCTGGTTAGCTACCTGGGGCCTTCCGTAATCAAGTCGAGCCAGGTGCGCGGTGATGTAGTCGGTACTGGCTGTTGTTGTTGCTGCTCAGGGATAAGGTCAAATAGCCGTAGCAAGATGTGGGGTGCGTGAGGAGTTCGACTGGAAAGATACTTGATTCTGCGCGGTACAAGTTTAGTTTGGTAGTCGGCTCTTTGAGCGATGAGAAGAAATCGCTGGTCGGAGATGGTGGGTGCCTGCTGTTGTAGGTAATGTGCCTTGGTAGCGCTGCGGTAAGCTTGGTTGCGTGCTGTGTTGAGTTGCGCTGTTGTGGTGGTCACAAGTGGGTCCCATGTCTCTGCTTGGTAGGTGAAGATGACAACTCGCGAATGTGTCAGCGAGTCTTATTTCGATATCGGTGCGTAGTTGACTGCGTTTAAGATGAGCAGCCTTGCGTGATGTTAGTGCTGTTCTCTGCTTGGTGATCTGGTGAGCCGTGCGGATAGTAGTGGTACATGCGGAGAATAGTAGTCCTCCTCTTCCTCCTCATCCTCCTCCTCCCTCTCCTCCTCCTTCCTCTCCTCCTCCTCCTCCACCTCCACCTCCTCCTCCTCCTCCTCCTCCTCCTCCTCCTCCTCCTCCTCCTCCTCCTCTCCTCCTCCTCCTCCTCCTCCTCCTCCTCCTCCTCCTCCTCCTCCTCCTCCCCTCCTCCTCCTCCCTCCTCCTCCTCCTCCTCCTCCTCCTCCTCCTCGTCTGCTCCTCCTCCTCCTCCTCCTCCTCCGCCTCCTCCTCCTCCGTCTCCTCCGTCCTCGCATGTTCCTCCCACCTTCCCTCCCGAAAGTTACCCCAAATTCCACAAGGGCTGGGGGAACACATGGTTCAAACAATTCGCCATGGTTCTGCCCAACGTTTCTTTTGGCAACATCGGCGTCTCAGGAAAGGCAAGGGGCGGCGGTGACTCGCCGTAGCCGTGTGTGGTATGTGTGGTACACCGGCACCGATTGTGGGCAGGCCAATCCTAGGCCCAGCATCAGTGCACACAACTTCTAGCCAAGGACCAGAAACCTCCTACTCCGATCCTGGGCCCAGCCTGGCAGACGGGTCGGTGCCAGCGTGCGTTTGGCGTCTCCCGAAGGCCGGGGCCCATTCCACACCAAACTCCTTGCACGTCTCCCTCAAGGCAGGCTCGGAGGCGATGTTGGCGAAGCCAGACTTCTGGTACGGGAGCACGTGGTGGGCCCTGTGGCACCCGAGACCAGCTGTGAGGAAAATGTCCACGTGTGGAATGCCAGTGACGTACGTGTCCAGGGCGTGCTGGACCTGGAAGACGCCCCAATCGAGATCTCTGTATTCCTGTTCCTCCCGCACCACCTCGAAGTCGTGCGAAGACACGATTTGGAACATGCTGGACCACATGGTGACGGCGAACTGCAAAAGCCACCAGTGCAGCTTCCCGCAGAGCGCCGCCCAGAAGAGCTCCGAATTCATGTACAGACGCATCAACCTGCGCGTCTCTCCGCCTGATTGCTCCCTACTCCTACCTTCTCCAATGTCTCATCCTCCGCCTCCTCGGCCTCCTCCTTCTCATACTGTGCTGCTCCTGCTCCCTCGTCTCCTCCTCTGACCATTTTCCCGAATTTGTCCTCCTCCTCCTCCTCCTCCTCCTCCTCCTCCCCTCCATCAACATCATCATCAGCAGCATCAGCATCAGCATCAGCATCAGCATCAGCATCAGTATCATCATCATCATCAGCATCATCAGCATCATCATCATCATCAGCATCATCATCATCAGCATCATCACCACCACCATCATCATCATCATCATCATCACCAGCATCATCACCGTCATCAACAACATCACCATGATCATCGTCATCATCACCATCATCATCAGTATCATCATCATCATCATCATCATCATCATCATCATCATCATCATCATCATCATCATCATCAGCATCACCTGCTGCCACCGCCTGCCCGCAAGTATGTAGTTTGCCGAACGTACCTACCGAAACGCATAGAGAACAACGCGAGAAGCATCGCACCTTGTCGAGTACACAAACATATGCAAGCAAAGACAACCCAGCTCAGAATTCCACGTGGACATTGTTTCGTCTCCCGCAAAGAACGCTAGCAGAACAGCTGGCACGCCCTCCGCAACGACACTGATCGCTTTGTGCACAGGGCTAGCGAGCTAAACAGGGTAATGCCGATAAGCTGCTCGATGCACAGTGTGCAAAGATATGTACCCCCAATATCCTTCTTTGCTTTTTCTTTCGAGCGCATGCCGCCACCGCTTCGCCCGGCGCGGGCTTTTCCCGGCAGACTGGGGAAAAACTCGGCTCAAACCGTACACACACATACACGTACATACGGTTTATGCCCGACGGTCCGCCAGCGACTCCCCGAAGCCTACTTACACCGTGGCTGTCGGGGTTCGCTGGGCGCCCGTCGGCGTCGCGCTCTTTTGCCAAGCCTGCAAGAACTGGGCGATCCCAACGCGAAGGGCGTCCAAAGATTTCGCCAATTTTTCAGGGGACGTTTTCGCCGCCGTCGCCGCCATCGCGAAGCCCCCTGAGAACCGCGATCCCTGCGAGCCGGAAGCGGCCGATGTGACATGTAAGCGGGCATTCGAGACCCGGCCTGGGGTGGAAAACGCGCCGCCTGGTCGACCGGCCCCTCTCTCGGGAAACCATCCTGGTGACGGTTCGGGTTCGGGTGGATTGGTATCAAAAATATGCATATAATATTCGTGCTAGCCGAACCACAACTGGCACCAGGACAGGTCCTGGTCATGGCTCTGGTTGCGGTTCATTGGCCTTCATAATAAAAATACGAGTTCAGCAACCCGACCCGCAACTGTGACCAAGACCAGTTATGGTCACGGTTCTGGTTCGGGTATATTGGCGGTAATGAAATTATAATACTATTAATGCAACCCGAACCTCAACTGTGACCACGACTGGTTCTGGTCACGGTTCTGGTTGTGGTTCATTGGCATCTAATAATATTAACGCAACCCGAACCACAACTGTGACCAGGACTGGTCCTGGTCATGGTTCTGGTTGTGTTTCATTGGCATTCGTAATACGATAGTAATAAGAAGAATAGTAATACGAATGCAACCCGAACCACAACTGTTGACAAGGACTGGTCCAAGGGCACGGTTCTGGTTCGGGTGGCTTTGCATCAATTTGAGTATAAGAATATGAATGCTACCCGGACCGCAGCTGTCCAGGACTGGTCCTGGTCATGGTTCTGGTTCGGGTGGATTGGCATTAGTAATACTTTTACAATATAAATGCACCCCGAACCACAACTGTGACAAGGACCAATCATGTTCATGATTATGGTTGTGGTTCATTGGCATTCATATGATGAGAATAGCATTCTGGCAACCACAACCGCAAGTGTGACCAGGACTGGTTCTGGTCACGGCTCCGGATCGGGTAGATTGGCATTAATAAAATTATAATAATATTAACGCAACCCGAACCTCAACTGTGACCAGGAGTGGTCCTGGTCCTGGTTCTGGTTTCGCAGCATTAATCGAATAGCATTCGAATAGTGTGACTACACCTCGACCAAAACCGGCTACAGTCATAGTCGTAGTCCGACATTGATAACTTTATTCCGATGCCACCGATCATTACGTACGTCCAGACCAGTTCTACTCACAGTCATACGTCACTGATATTAATGTAATTCGAGCAAGATCCACCTCAACCAACACCTGAACCACACCCCGTCTAGCTTTTTCTCCCTTGCCCAACCCATGCGTAGCGAAACGCTTTTGGCGGGCACCGATGTTCAACGACATTGGGGTTTTGGAGCAATCTTGATGCCATTCATCAAACGAATCACCTACATTAGTCATGATGGTTCTCAAGGCTGTAACCTTGAGAGGTCATCAACCAGTTTGACACAGTCGCCGTCGTCGTCGTCGTCAAACTCATGCCCCCCCCTGTTCGTCATCTTCCATCTCCGTGATGTCCGACGCCTTGGTGTACCCGCTCAGCGTCAACCTCCCGCTTATAATATTATTATGATCGTCGTCTTCGTCATCGGGTAATGCCCCGTCCATGGTTTCGAGATTGTCGCTCGCATTCTTGAGAGCTTCACGTTAAGTGTGCTGGACCTGGGCAAGTGCATTTAACAGCTTGTCGCTCCAGTATATAAACTTGGTCATGTTACCTGAGAAATGTCTTCAATGTTGAACAGCCTTGTGTTCGCTCACGGGCTCGTTTCCACCTCCGCCTGCCCTGGCGTTTCCTGCGCACTGCGCAGTACCTGTTGCGGTTGATAAATGAAATCAGGAGTGCGTTGATTTTGCAGCTCATCTGCAACATTGTGAAAGCATCATCGCTGCCAACACTCCTGGTGCCCTGTGGAGCACTGCGCTCGAATAACAATTTCATGCCTCTGTGGTTTGCCTTCTTAGTCGCCGGGTTCACATGCCTGGGGCCTCCGATCTCGTACCTGGCACTGCACACTTTCGCAAAAAAACGCGCGCTCATGCTGTACCATGCCTCTCGAACTTCGGGCAACGTTACGTCGAAACCCGCTGCGGCTGCCGCAGGGCCATTGCCAGAATGGAAGAACTTCGCGGAGTTAACCACGCGCACTGGGAACCGCGGGGTGAGACACGGGCTCCGCTAACACGAAAAATATGATGGGAGCCTTGTCCTTGGATGCGAATGGAACTTGAGCCACGCGGCCGTGCCAAACGGCTCTGTCTAACACACTTCGGCTTGGCCGCTGTGCTGCGTCCACTGCTCACCCAGTGGGAACGGTATAACTAACAGCCCCTCCTTCTCCACATCGTCACCATAATCATCATGATCATCATGATCGTCATCATCATCATCATCATCAGCATCATCATCATCATCATCATCATCGTAATCATCCGCCTCATAACTATTGCCCGTAGCTGCCAGCCAACATCCACCCCCCTACCATCCTTCTCCTTATGCCTCCTACTCCTCCTCCCCCTCTGATTTTCCCTCATCCCCTCGACTCTGTCTCTTTTCCGTCCTCATCATCATACAAATCCGAATCATCAGAACCACCATCATGACCACACTCATCCTCACAATGATAATCCTCATCATTCATCATTAACCTGCACATCGCAAGCATCATCCTCATCAGTAACCCCATCATAGTCGTCATCATCATCATCACCACTCATCGTCATCATCATCAGCATCATCATCACCATTGTCATTCACACGCTTCTTCTGAAGGACGTCCCCGACTTTGCCAGGAATTGCAAACGCAGGGCTTTCACAAATTGAGAAGGCTGACGGCCACGTCCCATCCCAGTCACAATCATCATCATTTTCATCATCACCACCACAATCATCATCAGCAGCAGCCGCAGCAGCAATAACACAGTCATCGTCACCATCATCATCATCATCATCATCATCATCAGCATCAGCATCAGCATCAGCATCAGCATCAGCATCAGCATCATCACCATCATCACCATCCATCAGCATCAGCATCAGCATCATGCGTATCATCGTCGTCATCGTCATAGTCATAGTCAGCATCACAATCAGAATCATCATAGCCAACAGAAGAAACCGCATTATCATCATCGTCATCATCAGCCTCATCATCACCACCATTTTCTTCAACATTGTGATCACCGTCGTCACGCGTATTATGACGTATGTCAGTCTCACGGTCATGTTCTGGCTTTGGCTTTGTCATCATCATCGCCATCCTGATCCTCTCCTCATCCACCACCACCCCCTCCTCCTCCTCCTCCTCCTCCTCCTCTTCCTCCTCCTCCTCCTCCTCCTCCTCCTCCTCCTCCTCCTCCTCTTCCTCCTCCCACACCTCCTCCTCGTCGTCATCATCATCAGCATTATCATTGTCGTCAGCGCACCCACCACCACCATCACCATCACCATCACCACCATCACCATCACCACCATCATCATCATCATCATCATCATCATCATCATCATAACTATCATCATCATCGTCATCATCATCATCACCAGCATCATCGTATTCGTCCTCGTCATCATCATCATAATCATCATCAGCAGCAGCATCACCATCACCATCACCATCACCATCACCATCACCACTACCACCATCAGCAACAGCATCGTCCTCGTCCTCATCCTCGTCCTGGTCCTCGTCGTCATCGTCCTCATTAACACCCTCATCCTCATCCTCATCCTCATCCTCATCACCATCATCATTATCAGCATCGTCATCATCATTATTATCATCATCGTCATTGTCCTCGTCCTCGTCCTCTTGATCCTCATCATCATCAGCATCATCATCAGCATCATCATCAGCATCACCACCAGCATCAGCATCAGCATCAGCATCAGCATCAGCATCAGCATCAGCATCAGCATCAGCATCAGCATCAGCATCAGCATTGGCATCAGCATCATCATCCTCATTATCATCCAACTCATCTTCATCCTCAGCATCATCATCCTCATCATCACTATCATCATTATCGTCCACCTCGTTGTCCTCCTCCGGCTCCTGCTCCAAACCCCCCGGGCCTCTGGAAAGTCTTCGGATCTCCTCCCCTCATCCTCCTGGGCCCGTCGCACCGGTTCCCCTTGCGCAGTCTCTCGAGGAGCGGCTTCATGGGGTCCCAATGGGCGCCGAAGCGCAGCAGATGCCCGGTGAAGAACTCTCCGAATTTCTGCGCTGTGAATATTGGTATGCGCCAGAGCCTGGGGGTGGGGGATGGAGTGGAGGACGAGGAAGGCGAAGAAGAGGAGGATAAAGGATGAGAGGATGGAAGAAGAGGAAGACGAAGAGGAGAAGGGATGTTGATATTATGAACTGTTCTTAGGCATTCTAGAGGTCCTCGTTGCCAAGGACGAATCCGGCACGAAATCCTCGTCCGATCGCGCTCCAGCAGATGTCTGGGGATCAAATTTCAGGACGGAGGAGAAAGAAGACGGGAGATTCACTGCGACGACGACGACGACCACGACGACGGCCGACACCACCGCCACAAGCACCACGACAACGACGACGACGATGACAGCGACGTCGACGACGACGGCGACGACAACGACGACGATTACGACGACGGCGACCACCACGTCACGACGATAACGACAAGCTTGAATACGACGACGACAAAGACGAGGATCGGGAGGAGGTGGAAGACGCCGCCTCGCGGACACGAGGCTCGAATGGGGTCAAGACGCCGCGGCGAAGATGTCTCCCCACCGACGGCGACGACGGATGTCGAGGCTGCTCTCTGCTTTGGTCTTGGGCCGGGCCCGAATATCATCTGCTCGAGGCACAGCAATATCTATCAGAGCATGGGAAAGAGTGGGAGGGAAGAGTACGGGTGGATGTCAGGTGGCTAAAGGTCTGCAGCAACTGTATGGTTTGAGCCAAAATGGCTACGGAGGCGCATGCCCCGCTCCCTTGCTGCAGGTTCAAGCTCAAGCACGGAACGAGGGAGCCCCGGCAACAATGTAGGCAAAGGCTTCCATTCCCACAGCCCCCGAAAAGAAGTGAGCTTGAACGAGAAAACAGAACATTCGCATCTCCACTAACCACTCGCCCATCTTGAAGCGTAATTCACAGAGGTAGCACTAATGTATGGCAGCGTCTCGGAGAAATTGAATTTGTTTTTACAAAACACCAGATTCTCCACTGAAGACGCCATGGCATACGCGCTTCCTTCTCTGACAGTGTCAAAAAACTGGGCTCGTCAGGAACGGTGGGGCAGAGCACGCGCGCGTAAGATCGAAAGGCTCCTAGCCTGCCTCTGTCGTTTTTCCTCGGACGTCGGCGGCCAATGGCGTCCCCTTTTCCACGAGGGCCCTAGCCGGCTCATGGACGGGAGTCAAGACTGAAGACGGCCGCATTCGGGTGCCAGGCTTGCACGACCCCCAGCGTCCGCTGAGGACCAGGGAGAGGAAAAAAGGGAAAAGGAAAGGGAGAGGGGAAACCGACGCGCTTTCTGCAGCTGCCTCTGTGATTCGGCTTGGGACCTGTTCTTGGACGTGGGGTCGTCCCGTCTTGACTGGATAACCTGATCCTCGACCGTCAACCGAAGCATGCCTGATCTGAGTAAAGGCAAATGGGCGGCGCTGGTCTTCGCCAAATCTGACTTGGTCATGCAATCAACTGGAAGGGGAGGATGGAGCATCCACCCGATCGCGCTCGCAATCCGAACGATTGGTCCCCCTAACTACGGCCAAGTCGATGGCCGTTCGTCGATCCGACTTAATCCCGGACGTTATCTTGGAAAACGTATCGTACATTCCCTTGGAGTCGACCACGCTGACGTTGTGGGAGGGGGAAGGCGTGCCCAAGACGGTGCGCTCATTCCTGAGCAGGGCGACAAACGGGCCAAGGTTGTCGCGCCACCTGTCGTGGACGACGTTCCGGTTCGTCACGTCCACGAGAAGAATATGAGGCCATTCGGCTCCACCAAACGCGCTGGAGAGGGCGAGAGTTTCTCCGGCGAGAGTCGAAGCGACCTGTCGTTTAACTTTCCTGGATCGCCAAGCGAGAGGGGCCACTCGAACCCGGGGCCCGTGAGCCAGGGACTTGTCGGCCATTATATATATATATATATATATATATATATATATATAGACATATATATATATATATACATATAATGCCAGGCCTCTGGCGGGCGCTGGCGGGCGCCGCCCTTCCTTTCCAGCGCAACCCCCTCGCAGTCGCCGGCCGCGGCAAACGCGAACCCCCCGCGGCGAAACCTCCACGTGGTGACGGGCAAAGGAGCAATAGATCTCTTGTGATCTACCATGTTGTTGGCATCTCACGGATCTTCGACCGACGGGATTCACCTTGGCGGCCAAAACGAAGGCCGCGCCCGCGACCTCGGCCCGGGACTCGCGCCCGACCCACTGCAGCTTGTAAACCAGAAAACGGGACGCAGCTACCTCTCCCCCCGCCAGCGAAGCTCCGCGGTCGCCCCGCCGTCCTCGCGCAAGAGGTATATTCTGCAACTGCTCGAGGATATGTTTCTCTTGCTCGGCCAAAATCCCCCCCCCCCATCGAGCCGGAGTCCTCGCCCTATCTATTCCACCCCGGCGGCGTCCAGCTTCAAACCATCGCCCGCTCGTCTACTTCGACGAGCATCTGCGCCTGAAGTTCGCCGCGGGCCCGCCCCGCGAACCAGCGAGGCTCCAGGCGGGTCCGCTCGAAGTCCCGAGACTGCAAAAAAAAGCGTTGTCTTGCGAATGGCAAGCGGAAAGTCATCCAGCCCGCAGGCCGGACCAATCAGCTCGATGAGAGACCCCGCGGGCACCAGGACACCATCGCAAAGTTCCATGAGAGCTCGGCCCCAAGCTCGCTTCAGGGAGCTCCGATTGGCAAAACGCTGTTTTGGTGTCTCCAACAAATAGAATCAACTTGCACATCAAAAAAACCTTCAGGAACAGCATTAAGGCCTCCATGCACGAAGTCGGAGCGCATGCCTGAAGATCGCAAGCACGTTCGCCCAGATACCCCCGAACGCGCCAGCGAGACTTCGTTTTAGGCTGAGCGTTGGTTCCCTCCTGGGGTCCCCAGCGCCTAAACACGCGACCCGACGCGATCCTAGATGGGAAGAGTCCTCTAAGTTCATTCACCTGCTTAGGAAGATGAACGATCGCGGCGCCTGTTCCCTCGGCTATTGCTTTCCACTCTGTCGAGTCAGAGATATCGAAGGCTTTCCTTTCCTCGGGGCCCAGGCTTCGGCGCAGGAACTCCGCCCCCCTGTCGGTAGAGGGGCTGAGCGCAAGCCCCGCCCTCGCGGGGGGACACCTCAACGTCGGCATTTCCGCTGGAATAATTTCGCCGCGCGCCACTCGGCGCGCGCCTCTCCTGCCGCGCGCCCACGTCGAGCATTCTAAGTCCATCGGGATTCTGCGTCGCGCGAACGAGCCCGCCCGGCGCCGGCCCCGCTGGTCGACGCCGGGCCGCCGAGTTAGGAACGCCGAGGCGGGGCGCGCAAACGAGGGGGGCGGAGGAGGAGGGAAGGGGCGCAAAGGCGGAGCTGGGAATTTGAGACCCTGCAGGATCCTCTCTTCGCCCCCCGGGGCGGCGGCGGCCCTCCCCGGCGCGCGGCTCGGGGCGCCCCCCCCCATCCCTCTCGGAGGCGATCCTGGATGACTTAGATGGTCCCAGGACTTGGCGCGAGGGGGCGCCCGCCGCGGGGGGATCGGAGACCGCGCTGTCGCCCCGGGAGGGCCGCTGAGAGGGAAGTCCCCGGGTGTCCTGGAAGACCGCGCCCTGGATCTCGCCCTCGGGAATCGAACCGATCCCAGGCGGCGGACGAGGCATGGCCCCCGGATCCCCATTCATACGCCGCCCTATCTCTCCCAAGGAAACTGCAGAATCTGGGGGGGAAGGGGGGGGGGTTCAGGTGGGGGGCTTCTGCCGCTCCTCCGCTGTCCGCCTCGGCCAGCAGAGCCACCTCGCGAGGGGGCGCCTCCTCCGCCAGAGCACCCTGCGTCCGAGCGCCTGGAGGAGGAGGTCCTGCCGCGGCAACGCTCGCGCAGGCACGGCGCGGGCTGGCCCGGGCTTCTCTCGGGCGCTGGCAGACGGACGCGTCAGCGAGCATGTCGGCGCCCCGGGGCTCTCCGGCCGCGGCGCGCCCGACTTGTTCCGGGGGGCAATTCCACAAACGAGATCTCATAGCCACCCAAATCGTTCCCACGATTTGCACAACCATCGGGCCCGGGCCAATCCAGCGGCCCTTCAGCAGAGCGAAGTTTTTCAGTCCCCCTCAAAGCGCTCGACGCCAAACGTAGACCCACTGCCCCATGTCTATCCCCGTGAATCGGGGCTCGCACTGCCCGGGCGAGGCGACGTCGATTCGAGTGCTCGAGAAGCTCTCGGCGGCCGAGCCCGCGCATCGCATCGCGGCGCGCGCGCGTGCAGCGGCGGCCGCGCCCTGGTCCCAGGACGCTGGGGAAGGTCTTCAGCTCCCGCGACTTGGAGAGGCCCGTCCGCCACGATATCGCCGGGCATTCGATGGGGCGAACTGACGTGGCGCAACCCCCCCTGGTGAAGATATCGGTTCTCGGCCGAAGTCACCTCGTGGACGAGGGTTTCCAGCTCCGAGATGTCGGCAATGAGGGGATTCTCGGAAGCTTCCAGAAGAATGTCTTGAACCTACCCCCCGCGCCTCTCGGCTCTTCCGTTTTGCCGCGGACTCTCGGGGTGCGCCGCGCGATGGGAAGATTCCAGGGCGTTCCGCCCCATCCGACTTCCCCCTCGAACTCTGGTCCGCCGCCCGCAATGGCGAAGACGGGATGTCCGAAACTTCGGGCCGAGGACCGGACAAAAGCTTTCCAGGCCCCAAGGGCGGTCCCATCGTAGAAATCGATCGTCTGGAAATTGGCCCCGTGACAGATGATGTCCAGGAGCGCGCACCGCCGGTCGTGGAACGTCGCGCAGGCGCCGAGGGTGATGATGCGACTGAACTCGAAGGCCCTAGGTACAGGGGCCAACCTACTGCTCGCTGGTCGGGAGTGCGCCTCGCAGTCCCAACATCGATATTCCTTTCGAACGAAGCGTAAAAACTCTGGCATGGCCTGGGCTGCCCGTAGCACTTTGAGGGGCGCGCCCTTGTCAGGGTGAGCAAGATTAACGCGCGCCGCGCGCGTGAATCTCTGCGTCTGCGGGGCGACCTCAAACGGCTGCCCCTGGCAAACTCATCCCCTTCCGCCGATGCCGCCGGGTTTTC